TTTTTAGAGTAACACAAATTCACAAATGTTAACACAAATTACTCAAAGTAATTTGTAAAGACTAATATGTTGTCTTTTTTAAGACTAAAACTAAACAATTTTTTAAGCTTTCATCGACCAAAAGTCGACTAAAACCAATCAAATATAGAAATGACTAAAACTGACTAAAACCATTAAATATAGAAATGACTAAAACTGACTATAACCATTAAATATAGAAATGACTAAAACTGACTAAAACCATTAAATATAGAAATGACTAAAACTGACTAAAACCATTAAATGTAGAAATGACTAAAACTGACTAAAACTAAGAAATATTTTTGTTCAAAAGACTAAAACTAAGACTAAAAATTAAAATGGCAGTCAAAAACAAYACTGACCCACACCCCCTTTCAGTCTCACCTGGCACACCATGAAAGTGAACTGTCTGGGAGAGGGCACTAGTTCTTGTTTTTATTTTTCCGGACTTGGTCTTGACTCAGCCTGACCCTCCCTCGGTCTTAGTCTCAGCTTGTTCTCAGCCTCCAAAACTCTTGGTCTTGGTCTCTACACACTTTGGTCTTGGGTTAGGTGGTCTTGACTACAGTATTACAAAAAGGCAAACTCTAGTCCACCTACAAATCTGGTCTTGGCTTGGTTGAAGTGAACTTTAGTACTGTTCGAATGCATCGAATGCATAAAGTCTGTGAATGCAAAGTGGACCGGAGACTGCTCCAAAAGCATATAAGGCTTAATGTTACTCATATCTTGTAAATACCTTATGTTATTATACCTAATCTGTATAAGGTGGGCATCACTGCTATGAAGTTGGATGCACTTCCACTCAGTGCATACCACCTCATACAGAGCTGTCTCAGCCACCTTGTGTAAAAAAAAAAAAAAAAACTTTCTCCCTGATTTTCAATTTCRTCTTCCCCTCATGCTGAGCCCATTGTTGAGTATTTGTTTGACACATTTGCCAAAAACAAAATAAAAGTTCTACAACTGCTAAAATCTGACATCATTCCATTTTATTTTATTTTATTTTATTACATTATGTGAAGAAAGAAGTTGTGCTTATTCAGAGGTTTTTGTTGTTTCTTTGAGTGGTTCTTAGTGGAGCACCATTACAGAGGAGGTAAACAGGTTGCTCACAGGGTTTGGTTTGTTTGAAAGTGGAGTGTGAAAGTAAACCACACTAGTTGAAAATATAACAAAAGTTGCAGTTTTGGTTCCCACTGAACAGAGTCTACCGGACTATCATGTAAAAACACCCTATAACATGCTGGATAGTGCCCCTCCAGGACCAAGTTCAGACACCACTGTTTTAGAGACAGATTACCAACCCCCAACCTTGACTGTAAGAGACCCATTCTCACAATCTAAAGTATGTGTTTAAATTACTTTTTATTTTAATTGGAGGCAATTTTAGTGCCAACGTACTGATAATGAGGCCATAATTTTCACCAGCAAGTCGGGTTAGTTGACATTTTAAATGTCAGCCGAAAGCTTTTTCTGCACGGGTCATATTTATTAGGTGTTCCCAAACTCTCTCAAGTTACCAACAAAAAGAATGAAATCCATACAAAACTGGGTTCAAGTTGCCAAACAATTTTGTTTTAAACGAGTAAAGAAATACACATCACGTTCATTCTGTTCCCGTTTTTAACGTGAACTTTTCCAGGTGCGTCTTCGCTGCGTTATTTAAATGCAAACTTAAAACAAGCAAACAAGGTGAACATTTTTACTTGCGATGAGAATGAAGAGTGGACCCCGTGCTCCCACCTTTTCCCACTGTTTCGGTCTCGCTCTTCTTCTTTTTCGTTTAGTCGAGTTTTGCATTTCATTAACACTGCCAGGTTTTTATTCTTCTTCACCTGGAAAAACAACTTTTGAACCACACTTTCTGCCAATGTGAGGTCTCACCACACGGGAGCCTAAATTTCAGGGGAGAAAAAATAGATTTTTTTTCATACAGCTGATGCTTTATTTATTAATTTTTTTACCTTTTCTATTTGTCCCTCTTTAGTTCAGTCCAGCAGGGGATTTGATATTCGAGGTGTACCTGGAAAAGCGAGTGCCAGAGCAGTGCTGTTTAATAAAGGTGAGCCTGTGTGTATTCTTCTGCCTTCTGCATGTCCTGTTAGGGAGGTGAAATAAGAGAGGTTGTGGTGAAAGTGGAGAAAGGAAGAGATGAAGGTTGATAGAACAGGGCTGAGACATCTGTGGTTTAACCTGATGGGATTTCGGCTACAGAAGTGAATCAAAAGCAAACTAATCAAAGAAATCTGTTTAAATTGTGTAAGTAATTGCATTTTCCAAGGGCTGCTGGCTGCTGAAGGTCACAGACTCATTTTCTAAGTTTGCAGCCACGCTTAATGGGGTTCAGGTTAAAGACGACCACTAAGCAGCACAGATTGTTTCTAAATCTTACATTTTTAGCAATGGAGAAAGGTGCCAGAAAAGTTTTTTTTAGGTTCATTTTGGTTTCTCTTTGTGTCACGATTTGTTGTGTCTGTAGGTTTCTCCAAGTATGCGGCCGTCAGAACTGGCAGAAACTGTGCTGAGTATGAAAAATACCACTTTTAAGGCTGATGACCTCTGGACTACCTTTGAAGTCATTGAAAATGGAGAACTGGGTAGGCAAGATTTTTTATTGTCATTKTGCATCCTATAATACTTAGTCATGCTCACAAATTATGCAAAATCATYAGTCCCACTTAAAATTTTAATAACAAGACATTATTTAGAGCAATGCACAGCATGGAAGTAATTGGCCATTGGTGTCCAAGGGTTTGCATGCTAAATGTTAGAAATGTCAGTCTCTGGGATATACATGTTTTTTTTTCTCTACCAAATTTGCATTTCAGGAAACAGCTAGTGTCAGGCAGCCAGACCTATAGGATGTTCTTGTGTTGGTGTTTTGTTTTAGCATCCTGGGGTGACACAGCTAAGTAATGTATTAAGGTATTTTATGTAGACACTGTTCAAAAATATGGCAAAAAGCCTCTGTGAACAAATTATTATTATTATCTCACCTACTGTAGCTTGCTCTTTTGAATGATTGAATGATCTCATCCCAGTCAAAAGGCTAAGGTGAAACTAGATTACTCCTGGCCTAAATGTAACTTTRTAACAATGCTATTTGGCTATAAATCTTATACTGTTGGAAAGCCTGTTAATTTMCTTTTTTAAATGGTGCCACATTTGTATGGAACATGCATTTTGTGGGATGAGCAGTAAAGCAGTCAGAGGTTTAAAATTTATTGCCAAGACGCATTGTTACAACAAAGAAATGATGTACCAAAACACTTACTTTTTTGTGCAAAGTAACCTTCAGCAGCACAGATTGTTTGGCAGATTTTACCTAGTTTTTACATAGTTTTCTATGCAAATAACCATGTAAGGCCAAACCAATGACAATGTAAAGCTTTAAAAMGTAAAACTTGCATGAAGACAATATTTCATAACATAAGCGAGGGTTAGAACATGGATGGGCCAGTGAAATCAAGTAAATTTACTTTTCAGCTCAGCTCTTTTATTATAACAACAAACCAGAGCAGAGTCCGTATCACTGCAAATAAAGCCATGTTCCATCACCGCTCCAGTCAACCGTCACTTGTGAGATATACAGTATAAACTGCTTCGTTTGAGGCAGGGACTCACCTAAAAACCAGAGGGTAGGTGTCGTGGAAATGATTTACCAAGAATGCAGAAACACATTGGARTAAATGCACAGAAAGTCTGCGTGTATGGTCATCAATGATTTAATCTTGAGCAACAAAACAAACAGAAGTCAATCAGGAAATCTGTYGGGTTTGTGGCTCCYGTCAGCAGACAGCAAGCCAATAATATAACATCATGATAACATCACGTGACAGTTTACAACCAATCACAGATCGACRAATGTAACTGCCCAGCCAATCACGGGGCTCTCAGCTCAAAGAGTGCCTTATCAAAGAAGAGAGGTCAATCCCCTGCTGGAGTCCTGTTGTCTGGGCCAAAACAGATTAACAGCCGAAMACTGGTTATAATAAAATATAGTTACTGGACAGTGTCAAGGTAGAACAGATATACATAATTAATCCATAACAGTAGGCTTTTAGATTTTTTTATTTTTTTTGGGATTGAGAACTACATAAATTCTTGGGTCTGGAGGAGCTGGTTCTTTTCAGCCCCTTCTTGGGCGGGCCTTTAAGCGGTTTTYCACGGTTTAGCCTCGACCGAACCTGTCTCCATTTCCGGTCCCAACCATACTTTCAAAACCATCTCAGYAGCARATCCAGGYGGATGAAACCAAGTTTCGCATGCTRACARTTTTGACATCAGCAGACTTCTGCCCGTGGATTGGCTGAGCCAATGGCTGAACTTGCAAATACTTCCTGCAAACTTTTCCTGKAGAGAGATGATGGAGACTAGCACATTACAACATGAGCTGATATCCTGGCAGGTTTTGGACAAAGTGGCTCCCCACAGTTACACRCACACAACAAATTTAAAAAGAACTGTCCAACTACCAGACCCCCCCAACCCCCACGACAACTTGGGGTCGCATACTGAGGATCCAAGCACAATCACGTCCACAGAATGAGGGACACACTTACACCTGAGTGTAACTGAACAGACATGAACCAGCTGAGACTTGACTTGATGCTTTCACATTGRACACTGACCTGCTCCAGTGCACGCTGAAGGTCATGGCTTGAGGATTCTAACAGAATGTCATCAGGAAAAAGGGTGGCCCTGGTGGAGTTCAACCTCCACAGAGATYAAGCTCAGTAAGTTTTTTTTAAATTTTCTTCTATGATCTGCTCTTTATCTAATTAGTGCTGCACACAGTTATTGTATTCTAAAAAACCCTCTCTCTTATCAATGGACTTTGCCATTAGAAGATGAAGCTAACTCTCCGATGAGCCAGTGTCTGACTGTGGCAGCGCACTGAGACTTTATCCAAGCATCATTGGTTTGATGACATGCACATTAATAAATCATTTTGCCACCGTATGTCACAGATTACCTTCATCCTCTCCTGCGTGATCAACCCAGAAAGCTGACCCACCTCATCTCGCATGAACAGGCGGCGACGGCTCCTCATGCCTCGCACGTCTTCATTTGATCAGAGGAGAATCAAGCGAGAGGGGAAGTCAAACTTTGTCGCGAAGCCGCTTTCTTTCAACATCCCCGTTGCGCTCTTCATCGGCTCACTCAGAGTCTACACCTTGCTCTTGTGTTTGTTTGTTTTTTCTTCCTCAAAAGTTGCAGAGGACACACCGTCCTCTGCTTTAAAACAAAAAGCAACAAAAAAGGCGTGTTGAATCTGAAATGATATATTTGCAGAGGGTTCTCCATATTTTTCATGCWAAACAAGTAGGACTGAGAAAAAAGTAAACAGTTGAGCTATTTTGAAGGCTTCGGCGTGATGGGTTTTGCTCACAAAGCCACAAAGAAGGAAGGAAAGGTGCATTAATTAGACGTTTTGGAGAGGAGCTGCAGATAAACACCGTTACCAAAGACAATGGACAGAAAGGGAGGGAGCTAATATTTGTCAAGAAAGGAGGAACTAATTCCACTCCCTATGTCTGCAGAGATTCCTGCACAAAGATAAGCCCTTTATTATTAATAAGTTTTACCATTGTGACTCTTTTCTTTTTTTTAATACTTCATTCAGTTATGAAAACATGGGGGTGTAGAAATGGAAGCATCAGAGCAGAGGTGGTGCTACACAAATTATCTGCCTCTTTTTTTTGGCTGACAGCATGCACCCTGTTCACCAATTAGGGAGAGATAATAGGCCTATTTTGCACATGAGTGTGTTTTTATAATCAGGTCCTGATATGCTGTAGATAATTCAAACTGTTCTGCGATGACAACGGGAGGAACAACAACATCACTTCAGCATTTAGTTTACACGTGTTCACYGTAGATGCAGTGATGTGAGGCGGCGGAGTTCACGCGAGGCCAGAGAACAGAGCTGTTTTGTTGTTTGTTTCTTTGATCCCAACCGTGTTCTCCCACATTTCCCTCCTGATAAAACAGATCCTTTTTCTTTTTGTCAGAACGCCCGTTGCACCACAGTGAGAAGATTCTAGAGCAGGTGTTGGAGTGGAGTACCTTGGAGTGCCCCAGCTCTGCTTTTCTTCTTATCAAGAAGTTTCCAGGGGGCACAAGAATGGCCAGTGATAAAGGTAAAGTATGCTATTAAAGGAGGAGATTGGACTTTTTATTTTATTTTATTTTTTATTTATTTATTTATTTATTTTTCCTTTTCTTGTCTTGCCACTTCAGTAGAAAGCAGAACTGAATATCTGAATATTAGTATCTTAGCTTCTTCATCATCAGTGGCTTTTTTAATAGGAGAAAAAGAAAGAGAAAGAAAAAGTGAAATGTAATGAGAGAGTGAAAGAGAGATTAGAAGATACAGTATATGAAATGTATGTTGAGAAAACACAAGACAGCACACCGGACTTCTTGGCTCCACACCTACAAAAACAAAGATAGCAAAACCACAGCAACAAAAATGCATATCTATGTAATTATAATGACTATAGCCTTGCTGAAAACCATACCCATATACATATATAAATTTATACATATACACATAAACCTACCCTTATCTACATATCCAAACACTTTCATATATATATACACATACACATATTCATATATCTATACGTACATAAATGCACATACCATTCAGTCAGTGTCTGAATAGAAAACCCAGGATGTAAACACCTGTTTGTGTGCGGTTGTGAGCATGCGTGTATATAAAAGATCTCTCCAATGGAATGTTTCAAAGTGACTATGGAGGACCACAGTCCTGACCCGCAAAGCCGGAAGCCGACATAAGGGAGACCAGCGCCAAAGACCCCGAGAGGGTCCCCAAGTGTGCAGCCCCAGAAACACCCGCGCCAGAAGGGCCGCCCACCCACCCCCCAAAGAGGACCACCGAAGAGAACCGGAAGAGCCCCACCAGCGACCACACACAGCAACCCCTGGGGCCAGCAGCGACGAACTCACAGGCCCCGCCGGTACCCACGGCGCCAGAGTGGATCCAGGCATGGACACAGAGGCCCGGGCTCCCAGGGCGCACCCCCCACCCCCAGGCCAAGGCCCGATAGGACCAGAGGGACCCAAGCCCAACCGGGCAGCCACCGGGCCGAGCCGGCACACGCCCAAGCACCCAGCCCCGGACAACGAGAGCCACAGGTGCGCCGGTGGGCAAAGGCACAACCCACCAGAGGACAGCACAGCAGGGGAGTAATGGGCCCTCAAATGATCCCRAAGAAGGGGCTGCCCAAGTCCCAACCTGACAAAAACTGGACTGGACTTTTTTTGGACTTTTTTTAAAGTGACATTCTGTGGAGTTATCAGCAATCAACAACTAACCTKCAGTAGATGCTGCTCAGAGCGTTATTACAACCCTAATTCTAATGAAGTTGGGACATTTTTTTAAAATATAAATAAAAACTGAACATGATGAATTGCAAATCCTTTTCAAACWATATTGAATACACTACATAGACAAGAAATGTAATGTCCAAATGAATAAACTATTGTTTTTTTTTCAAATATCCACTAATTTTGAATTTGATGCCTGTAACACATTTCAAAAAAACTGGGACAGTTTACMRCTGTGTTCCATCACCTTTCCTTTTAACAAACAYTTGTGAACTGAGGACACTATTTGAAGCTATGTAGGTGAAATTCTTTCCCATTTTTGCTTGATGTACAACTTGAGTTGCTCAACAGTCTAGTACCCGCACTCTTTTACTACGAAGCCACACTGAGGTTTGGCAATGTCTTGCTGAAATAAGCAGGACATCCCTGAAAAAGACGTGGCTTTGGACGGCAGCATACGTTGCTCCAAACTCTGTATGTGCCTTTCAGCATTGATGGTGCCTTCAGTTCCCAAACACTTGGTCTTAGTGATGACAAGACCAAAACATATTTCTGTTGTCCTAAAAAAAACTTAAACATTTACATTTTTTTTACATGGAAGTCACACTTAATGCTCAGTTTAGATTTTTTTGCTCAAATCAAATGTTTTTGCTTGGACATTCACACTATATTTTAAATGCAACCTCCATCAAACTTCAGTATGAACTCTCTATAACATTRATGTGACCCGCATGCGCAGAAGATGACTTGGCATCACATTTATGGGTTGCATTTGCCTTTAAAATGAACATAGCCTATGTTTTTTTTAAACATATGTGGTTTCCTACAGCAAGTATCTGACTCAAAGTTCTTCAGCTCTGTTCCTCGTGACCCACTGTCCTGCATGTTTAGATGTTGTCCTGCTTCRACACACCTGACTGAAATGAATGAGTGATTGTCAGGCTTCTGGTGAACTTGATGACATTCTGAATAGGCAATGAATTATTTGAATCAGGTGTGCAGAAGCAGGAAAACATACAGGACTGGTTCACAAGGAACAGGCTTCTGATTGTGACTGATGACAAACTGCATTTGCAAGGAAAGATGGAAAATACCTTCTTGTTTTTTTTTCCAGGTAAACTGCAAGTCCTTGCTCTCATGATGTAATTTTGAACACATTTTAAAAAATTGCGTGAAAAATCCTCGTGGACATTTAGAACTTGCCTCAATCCCTTCTTGGAGTCACATATTTGTCGACAGACAAACCAATTTGTGACCGTTTGGTGACATAAAGATGAATGTGACACTTGGTGTGACCTGTAAGCAAGAAACAATTGTGAATAAAATGGGAATAAATTGTGTACACGTTGACACATTATTGGTAAATTGTGACAACATAATTTTTATATGTGTGTGAATTTGGCCACAAAATTTGTGTTGTAACTTTCACCAACACTGGGGAATTGTTTTGCGTTTCTGTTTCCCACTTGCTACCAACAATCCCGCTGTAGGAGGATACATTTATTAGTTTTCTACATGTTTTTATTGCTGTTTGACAGATCACCTACATTGTCGAAAAGGCGACTATCTGAAGTTCAGTGACGGATGTTCCAAGCTGCTGCCGGGCCACAAATTTCAGGACAAGTATGTTACTCTTGGTGCAGAGAAGCTACTGCTTTACAGGGACATCAAAGTAAGTAGGCTTGTTTAGTTGTGCATTCATCTGCTGTCACGTTTAAACACTTTTAACCACAGGCTTTTTGCATCTAACCACAACGCTATAAAAAAAACAAAGAGGGGGGGAAAACTGACACCCCAAAGAGAAATAAAAGGTTCCAAAACTTCTTAAGAACAGCAAAATGTGTAACAGTGGAGCCTACATCACTGCAGGCTAATAGACCYCCAAACCAGCCAGCCTCTGTGACACGTAGTTTATCTTTTTCATATTCCTAACAACATGTCTCAAGGTTCCAATTTTTCAAATTACAGAGAGAAATAAAACACACTGATGGCAGCAGGCTGTGTGCTCTTTATTTTTTTCCCCTCCCTTTAAAATAAAAAAAAAGAAAGAAAGAATATGGCATGTGCTAGAGAGAGGACCAGCAGGATCGAGATCCCTGGAGGGCTTTTCTTCTCAGCACATTTCTGCAGTTGAAACATGGGATTCGTAAAGGAGTGTGAAGAAGTGTTAATAATTGATGGAGGGGCTGCCTGTAGAGTTGGGGATGTAGGTAGGAGGCAAAATGAGTAGCAACGACATGTGTGTGAGAGTGTGTGTGTTTTGGGGGTTGGGGGTGTCTTCTTTCTGAAAGCTTCTCTAAATACGAGGTTCCAGGAGAATGTGGCTAATTACTGTGTAAATACAAGGAAAATTAGACATGTTACTTGAATTTAATTGATATTCCTTGGCCTCTGCAATTACTGCCAGGTCTGTATTTAGTGCAAATCATGTTGGATGAAACGGTGAATGRGGTGTGGAGTTTTGATGTGTAGGTGTCAAAAGCAAGCTGCAACTTTGATTTTGTTTGCTTTGTTCTCCTTCACTTTGTTCTTTGTCAGATGGAAGATGAGGTTTGCCTATAATGATTCACAACTGATTGTTGTGGTTTGATTTAGTAGAATGGCACAGATAATTAGCTGACATTTTATTTAAGTTTAATTGGTSTTATTCTTTTTTTATAAGCACTTTTTTGTGGGTTTTTTTCTTTTTTGCTACAAAAGATTCAACCTTATTTTCCTTTTTTTTCCAGAACACTAAAGCRGAGAGAACAATCCAGCTGAAGACTGTGAAATGTTACCTAGGCCTGAAGAAAAAGCTCAAATCTCCAACWAAGTAAGCAGTAACAATCTTTGAATGAATGTATGAAGGAATACATTCATTCACTCATTGACAGAATGAGTTAAGCTCTTGGATATGAATGGTCTGATTTGGACAAAATTTGCCACACATAAGGCATTTTTGCATTGTAAGGCCTGGCCCCAGTCAGCCTGGCCTTATTCTACCTGATTGTGTTTGCATTGATCAGAGAACCTCCTTGATGTGATCATAATATTAAACACACAAATCTTATTTCATATTATTTGCAACACARAAATAATGAACTACACCAAACTTAAAGGAAACTTATTSAAGATTGGGCCGGGCAGGCAAGCCATGATAGAACCACAGGTCTTGGGGTTCCAGAAATTTGGGTTGAACTGGGCTATAAGGGCTAAAGCAAGAACCCTGAACCCTGGCCTTGCAGTGCAAAAAGGCCTACACAGACCAGTGTGGAACCAAGGGGCATAGGTGGTGAAATCACGAGCTGAGCAATGGTGTTATCAGGCATTTGCTTGAGCTTCTGTGAATTAGTAAAAATAGTTTAGCGAAGGTCAAAAGACAGATTCCTTCAAAGACACAATAAACCCACAAAGCTAAATTTGTCTGGCCCAGTTCATGCCCATACAGTGCAAGAACACTCAGCCCAGATATCGCAAAGAATGACAGCCCTTTATTGGGCCAGATGTGGTCAGTGTATGGGCTAGCACCACATAAACCACACCACAACCAGGCCAATTGTAGCAGTGATAGATTTAGGTCACATGAACCAAACCACAACTGGGCCAGGCATGCCATCTTAAAAAACATGCAATCATTGCCAGACCTTGCCCACATCCAGTTAACCAAAAATTTGCCATGCCAGCTGTCAGCCAACAGTCAACCAGCTTGACACCAGGTCTGGCCCACTTCTGTCTGCTATGTRGGAACAACATTCCCARCACTTGACATAGTTTGGCTGGGGTCACGCTGTGGATTTGCCAAAGGTTGGATCCCCTCAGGTAGAGTGAGTATATGAGAGGATCAATGCATGTTCTGAAGGTTCTAATTACTCAAAACAGTCCAAACTGGTAGGCTTGTATTGTATTCGAAACATTACAGAACCTATGACAGCTAAARGCATCTAGAYGTAAGGTGTCTTTACWCAGAGGTGTATAGTAACTAAGTACATTTTCTTAGTAATTTTTGGGTATTTTTTCAATCGTAACTTTTACTTTTATTTATTTACATCCAAAACATAAAAATAATACTTTTAGTTCTTTACTGTAAAATGTAGCATCAATATGTTACAAATTTAAATAAGACCAAACTCATCATTAAAGGAATTGTTTATGTACTTTAAAAAATGAAGTGTTGAATTTACTTAACCAACTTATACGAACTGATTCCACTAAACTGAGTTGAACAAATATAAAGAAATTTACTTTTACTTAGTTATTTTTTTCAAGTACTTTATATACATCTACCTTTACCTCTACAAAACCTTGTCATCCAGACGTGTCTCGAAGACTGGCTTCAGCCAAACTACAGGTTCATCTTGCCAAAGCATAAACTAGTACTAACACCACAAGCTGCGTTTCCATTGCAAATATGCACAAAATTTTGTCGATATTTTGTTAATGTCGAAAAAACACAGTTTCTCAACTGCGGTGTTTCCATTAAGTAAGAAATGCCATTAAAGTCACGCGTGAATACGTTTGTTTTCATGATAAGTTATTACAAACATGGCGGCAATGGATGTAAACACATAGCATGTTGCTACCGCGACACCAGTGCTCATCATCAGAGGAGACATTGGCGTCTTTTATCAAGGCTTTCCAGCGACAAGCCCCTACTTGGGAGCGGCTACGTAAGCTGTGTTTTTGAGAAATTATAGTCGGTGAGTTTTCTATTTTATACTACTTCTGTGATATTACTACTACTTCTACTTCCTGTTATCTTCTTCATCGTCGTCTTTTTTGCCAGTAGAAACAGCCGGTTGTTGATCACGTGACTCCCGTGATTTGAAAAAAGTGTTTCCATTTCAGGTTTGCGAAAAATACCAATTTCGATACGGCCGAAATACCACCTCATCCTAGCACAAAAATATTTTGTCGAAAAACGTAATTTTTTTCTAAATTGACGTGTTTCCTTTGAGCAAATTTATTTTCGAAATTYTAATTTGCGCATTTTCATGGTCAATGGAAAYGCAGCTAGAGAAGAGCTGTCTGCGTTTGGAGTGCTGTGTAAGAGATGGGGTTGTATCATGTTCAGTGATAAATCTTAGTCCAGACATTTTGGACAGATAACAATCAGGTTGTGCCAAGGGGAGAAGATCAATCCTGCCGAARATGTAGAGAAACGTGTTATTCCTGGTATCTTGTGGCAACCCGTATGACTTCAGGTCACCTCTAGTAGCGATTTCTGGGGGCTGCGTCGAGACACCCTGCATTGGCATGTCTTAGGGACAGGGCACCTGCAGTAGACTTGCATTGCCAAATGYACTTATGGTATTGTAATCATTGTAAAACAGTCACACAAAGCCTTAATGTGCAGTTTTATTTCCACCCCTTCATCTTAGTGCCTAACTTTTGTCAGTGAGCGTAGAACAACCTAAAGTATAATCTCTGACATTTCTCCTGCTTTGTCTGATCTTTTTTTACTTTTTACCTCTGAAATAAATTAGCWTTAGGAGCAGCGGAGTTTCTTTGACAGCAATGCAATTAACACCTGATGCTGTTTCTTTTTCTTTTAAACAAGACATAAGCATGTGCTTATTTTTATTGCATACAAAAACCTATTAGCAAGTAAAAGGTGGTAAAAGATGAACTTTAATGAAAACACGAAGGTCAGTGACTCACTACAAAACGGCTTCTATAAAGAATAAAAAATGGTAACTGTTGTCCGAATTTTAAATGATCTTTCTCTTTTTGAAAAATACAGCGTGAACTAACAAACAAAGGCTTTTATGTTCTTTAGCTCTAAAACAAAACAAAACAAAAAAACATTGCTTTCAGGTCTATGTTTTTTAAAAGTACAAGTGTACCCTTAGAAACCGATCTGTTCTTTGGTGTTTTGTGTTAATCTGAAGTAAACTTAATGGGCATTCAGTCATTTGCCGCATTATGACCTGCTCTCATAACTAAAAAAGATTTTAACGACCCTGTAAAAAAATAAAATAAAAATAAAACAAGCTAAGATTTTAATAAACCTGCATTTTCTCCCCATTTGTGAGGCTTGCACACAGGCTTCTTTGACATGCTAAATCACTGACACAACTTCCAAAGCCTTAGAACAAATGTATTTACATTTTGTAGCAATAGGCTTACAGCGCATCGAGTTTTATTCACTTATGTCTTGTGGTTCAGGAAATATTTTGCTAACAGACAGGGTCTCCCCTAATAGTCAATAGCTACATTAACATGGGCATAAGTAATTGGATTAAACAGCCATTTGGAATAAAAATGTGTCATACAAACTCCCCATTCGGATTATTCTGTCCCGATTCAGCTCGATCCGAAWGAATTTGTAATCGGAACGAGAGAGTTGGTTTATTCCGATGGATAATCTGAATGACGTTTGTGTAAACACTTAATCTGATCATCTTGTTCTGATTGTGGAAAACTGACCTGACTGCGCATGTYTGCTGACTTTCATCAGCTGTTTCCAGCAGACAGAACTTTTCCTCCCGTTTTCTCATTCAATAAAGAAGGAAGACACACAGCCTGCGTCGCTTCGCAAAATTTTTTTAATTTTTTTTAAATAGTCTGTGCATCACCTGCAGCTGAACCAGGGAGTGCAGTAACTTCTCCACCATTATTAAAAGCTGTTGCASGTCCATTCTGAGCTCAGAAGCTGTCTGTTTATGTTCATGATGAAAGTAAAACTTTTTTCTGTTTTATTATTATTTTTTTTAGGGAAAGTTAGCAACTGCGCACGTCAGTGTTTCTATTCTGAATAAAAGCCTGGTGCATGTAAACACTCGTCATGATCGGATTCTGCCGATGTAAATAATACATTCAAATTATTTAATCCGAATACATTTCAATCCAATCAAAGAATTTAGCGCATGTAAACAAAGCTAGTGCCAAAYGTTTGAGCACAGATGCCACACAATGTGTAGAGTYCAGAGTATGTSTTGTGAATTACCTTTAGCTATTACCTCCGCAGATATTAGCTCAGTATTTGTGGAATTGGCTGAGTCAAAGCCATTTTTGTGTCCTCTAATGTCAATTGGTTGTGGCAGTAATCGTCCTTTTATCAAATGCAAATTATTAAAGTTCCCTTCTGTAAATAGAAAACACTGCTGGCACTGTTTAGTTTTAATTTTTTTTTTATTTCATTGGAATACTGACACATGTCAAAACTACTCCAGTTCTTGTTAAAGCAACACAGAGGAAGTTTTCCAAATTCAAAGTCACATTTCCTAATTACAATTGCTCATATTTTTTTTTCTGCATCAGACTTTTGGGTCAGGAGAAGTCCAAAAAAATTGTCCAGAAAGTGTTTTGTCTATGTCACACAATCCTTTGTGGGGGGGAATGGATAGTAGGTAAAAAAAAATTGAGAGGGAAGTAGGGACAGAAGGAAAGGATGATGCAGCATGCTATCATAAATGTACCGTCGAGTGGGCTGTGAGAGAGGTGATGCGGTGAATAATGAAATAAAGAGTGAGTGGTGAGGAAAATGGAGAGAGTTGTAGTGAGAGGGTTAGAAGAGGCAGCGCTTCAGTACCTCATTAGGCAGTGTTCTATCTGCGAGCAGCCTACTGTAGTGTTAGATCGGCTGCTTTAACTCACAGGAGTGGTGCTCCAGGCTGCTGCCTCTCCATCTCTGCCCCCTTTTTTGTGCTTTGTTCTCCCCCCACTCCTTTGCTCATTTTCAGCTACAGCTGTGAAGGTTTTCAGGAAAGAGGAAGGTGGTCTTTCTACCTTTGCATTGCCTACGAAAGTTAATTCGCACTGAAGCCCACAGACAAACATTCATATTTAATACTGGTAAAAGATATTGGTGATAATGCAAATAGTTGTATTGTTCTGATGAAAACACTATTGTTTTTGGAAAAGTGACATCTTGTTTAAACTAAACAAGTCAGGACACATGCTGTATTAAAAGCCAGTGAGTATAAATGTCTTAAGAGATTTAAAACACCAAGAGTTAAAAGCTGTCTGATAGAAATTGGCAGCTTGTTCCAAAGTTAAGGTTATAGCACTGAAAAGACCTGATCACCTCTGTAGACCAGCCTGGACTTTAGGACAAGTACTGTATATCTAAACCAATGGTGTCAAACTCATTTTCACTGAGGGCCATGAGGAGTATTATGACTCGCAAAGGGTTCATTGTAATGAACTTGCTATGTCTTATCACTGTTAAACAATAATTGAGCTCTATGTGGTATTTCTTGCATATAAAATGTTTTAACACGTCCTCTTATAAACACTGAAAAGTACTATGTGTATAACTGACTAAATGTGAAATAAATAACACAGAAATACTATTAAATGTAAAAGTAAGAGATTTCATCATTATTGAGCTTTAGTGACAAGCCACCATCTTGAATTTTAAACTCTCCCACTTTCTGACATGGAATTCCTACTGGAGTGTTGTTCCAGTTTTAAATTTCCAACAGGTTCATGGGAAATTCCCACTTCCCAGTTAAAACTGGCTGAAAGTAAATGGAGATTTTACTCTGCAAATTTCTTTAACAGCCAGCTACTTTTACACATTTTGCAGGTAAAATGATCAACATGCAATATGAGAGATGTAGTTTATGGTCATTGTTGGATTTAAAGCCATTAATAAACTTTGAAGCAAGCTCTTGCGGGCCACATAAAATGCTGTGGCGGGTCACATTTAGCCCGCGGGCCTTGAGTTTAACACGTGTAATCTAAAGAATCTAGAGGGCACATAAGGCTGCGGGCAGTCATCCATCCAGTCAGACAGTTATCCAGGAGCCTGTCCATTTAGTCATCAATAAACTTTAAAATCAATTCTAAAAGGAACAGAGAGCCAATGAAGGGAAGCCAGCACCSGGGAGAAATAGTCCCGTTTTTATGTTTGTATTAAAAGACGAGCTGCATCGTTCTGAGCTAACTGCCGTCGTGAGAGGCCAGCCTGGCTAACACCAACGCACAAAGAGTTGCAATAGTCCAGTTGGGAGGTAATAAAAACATGAATCACCCATTCAGAGTCATTAAAAGACAAAAGCGCTTCTACATTTTTAGTTTTGCATTCAAAACCCTTACATTTAGATACAATTTAGGCAGTGTTCAAAATGAATGGGACAAAAAAGTTTGATGATTTATGATTAAGTACAACATTTTAAAATTGCAAATATATTATTGCACTGATCTGTACACTTGACGGCATCCAGAGGATCATTTAATTTAGTTTACAGCATCAGCCTGTGCAGTAACCTGCAATCATTTGAGGTTTTATTAGTATTTGCTTCAGGATCCATGAAGGTCTCTCACTTCCCAGATTTCTACTTTCAGTACCTGTTTTAGGGTTATCAACATCCTGTACTGTAGGGGAGCAGCATGTGCTCTGTACAGCACAGTTTGGCCTGGAGCATATTGCTGGCTGCTCRTACATAAACATTGGGTTGGAACTGTACTAATTAATTCCACAGTAAAGCACCTGGCTTCTGAAGGAAACATTTTCAGTTTGTGTGTATGTTCCCTGTATGCCTGTGTGAAGATTTTGACCTTTTGTTATTGTTGTGCTAACTCATTAACTTAGTATTTTTTATTGATTTGAAGTCTACCAGTTAAAAACTTGCTTTTAGTTAAAAAAATATTTATGACCTGTATCTTTTTTGCTTTTTATAGCTGGGGTTTCACAGTCTACACTGATAAACAGCAGTGGTGAGTACCAGACAATAGTTCTTCACTTCAATAATCCAGACATTTAAATTTGTACTTTTTCCACTTAAAATTTCTGCAGTACAAAAAAAACAGTTCAGAGGTGAGAGTTAGAGTTGAAGCTCTTTTAATGATCTGAATGGCCTCTTAATGAGAAATTTATTGCAGCTGAAATAAATTATTGGTGCTCCTGGTGAGAGGCTGCTTCTGGCCTTTAGGAAGTCACACCATTAAAACCGACAGGTGAAGTGAATATGGTTGAACACCTTGTTACAATGTTCCACTGAGACAAGTTGGATTCAGGAATTCATGTGTTTATGTTGACATGTACCAGCCACTTAAACATTGCTGGACACAGAGCAAACACAACTATGGCAGCAATAATTTGTGATGACACCAGCCTCTATAGGAGCACTGAGTGATGGTCTTTTGATGGAAATTTTTAAACAACCCCTTTGGTTTTCATTAATTAATTTTAAGTGTCCCAGGTAATCAGTGGTGGGCAGAGCTAATTTAAATTTTATTTTCACAATTTCTAAAGTGCTAGTCAGTTTATTCAGGTCCGCAAGTTCAATAGCACATATGCTCAATAAAACTTAGTGGAAGCTAATCTAAAGCACAACTAAATCTTTGTTTACCAGATAACATTTAGGTAAGAGAAAAGTCAGCGCTTTACTACCGTCTAGTGGTAAGATCATTTTCTTTGACAGATTGGCACATATCGGCGCAGAATGGGGAGGTGATTCATAGAAACAGACTTTTAAATCATGGTTGTAAAACAAAAAAATTGTTGTTGATTGCTAGTTCTGCTACTTCTTGGTCATTTTCTTATGTTTATCGCAGAGCTTCAGTAATAAAGCATGCAGGTATATTAGCAATTTTAATCTGTTTGTTGTAAAACTGAAGCAATGCATTCTGGCTGGCTACAGGACACAGAAAAGGAATTCCATTCTTTTGTAATTGCTTCCTGCCACGCAAAGAATTTTGGGAACACTACAGTCTGTACTAAGTGAAAACCGTCACCGAGAAGAGTCCGAAGTCAGAGTAAAAAGCTCTGTGAACACAATGCTGACTGAGGGGTTGCTGTTTCCTCACAATGGAGATCCATTGTGTTAAGTAGAGACGGCTTTACCCTTCATTGTTCAAGAAAATGATGACAAAGTTTTAATGAATTATGTGGCTACAAAACATAGTGAGACTAGACGGCTTTTTAGATTTGCTTTTGATGAAATTGTTTGAATGTGAAAAATTATTTGCAATTAGCGCTACTCAATTCTAAATTTAGAAAGCGCAAATCYGCACATCATTTTATGAAATTAGTAAAAACCTTAAAACACAAAGGAGAAATTTAGATCCACAATTAGCACATTTGCGCTTTAGGGGACTAGTGCCCACCACTGCAGGTAATTTTATTGCAATATTTGGATATATTACTAATACCATCTGTTTCTGTATACAGTAAGTCTTAACAAAAATAGATTTAACTAGCATCCATCCATCCATCCATCCATCCATCCATCATCTCCTGCTTTATCTGGAGTCGGGTCCCTGGGGGCAACAGTTTGAGCATGGAGGCCCAGACCTCAACCCCAGCTGGAGGAATCCAAGGCGTTCCCTGGCCAGACAGTCAGACTTACCCAACGCACCTACATAGGGAGGTGTCCAGGAGGTGAAGAGCTGAAGATCAYGATGTGATGACATCAACAAGACCACATCATCTGCAAATAGCGGTGATGGAATCCAGGAGCCACCGAATATTTTGCCAAAAGACAAACGCACAAGATTTCCTGCTTTCCACGGATTCATGTGATAAACACAAGTTTCATTAACATTGTAGCACCAATTATTTTGGTAAAATAATGTTATTTTAAGAAAGAAGTTCATCTTTTMCATTTCATCACAGGCATGGTTTTGATCTTGAAAGGTGAAAGGACTAATTTAGACTATTTTCTTTGCAGCGATTTCTTTAAGTGATAAGAACAATCAGAGTTTTAAACCATAAATGTGTCTCTTGGACCACATCCCAACAAGGTTGTTTAAAGATCTTATACTCCTTATCAACACCTCTGTACTTAAACAGATCAATCTCACTCTTTTATCTCACTATATTTCACAGGACTTTAAACCATCTATAATTAAACCCAACTTTTTTATCCCTATCTTTTAGCCAACTACAGATGAATATCTAACTTTCCTTTTATATTTAGCATCTTTGGAACCTTCTTAAAACACTTAATTACCATGTATTAAACTCAAAAAAAGCATAAATTGTAAGTATAAATATATAATTTCCATTCAAAGCCTTGTCTATAGGCTGTATGTTTTGTCCCAGTTTTAAATTAGATAAAAATTTATACCAAAAACGACAACAAATAATTGTGATTGAGGTAGAGTTCAGGACTGGTGTAAGTCTAGTAGATTCCACTTTGTGCAACATTGGTTGCTGATTCAAAAACATAACAAAGGATAAATTGTAGGAGTGTCCCGATGATGAATGCAAGTGCTTCAGTTTGTGTACTCACTGATACTGAGTACTTACTGTTAGAACTTRAACATTACACAATGAYTTTAAAAATACATTTCTTGTATTTAGAACAAAGTGGCTCTCCTTCATTAAGCCTAGTTCACATGGCAAGATAATTATTCCGATATTTGTCCCRATTTTGCCCTTCCAACAATCTTGGTTTTGGCTCTAAAGATAATTTTGTGAGATATTCCTGACGTGTGTGGTAAGAGTTATCTARTCGGCTCAGAAGGWCGTYGGCACTGCTCCGATCTCAATTCAGGAATATTCAACATATTTGATTGACTTGGCCTGATATCCCAGTGTGTGTGGTATTCCCTGAGGACAAACGAGCATGCAGCCTGTTGAATGTGACGTGTAGCCAATCAGAAAGCAATGCCATGGAAACACGGAGGGCAATCCAAAATACAGAAGACAAAACAGCTGCCATGGTGCACCAGAAAGTCCGATGGACGTCGGAGACTTTTTTTGTTTTGTTTTTTTCTCTGTAAAAAATAACCCACAAGCTATCACTATAGTTTTTTTTCCCTTATTGGCCATGTTTTGGTTTTTTCCTGTCTGACATCTGAATGTTTGTGAGTGAAATCTGTTCATGTGTGGTGTGTTGTCTCTGCCGTGTGGCTGTACACCACACACTGTAGGACCATACCTGTTACATCTATGATTTTTTTCATCGTCTTGTGTGAGGTCTCTCTGCTTTGAAAATCAACCAAGNGGCACTGCTCCGATCTCAATTCAGGAATATTCAACATATTTGATTGACTTGGCCTGATATCCCAGTGTGTGTGGTATTCCCTGAGGACAAACGAGCATGCAGCCTGTTGAATGTGACGTGTAGCCAATCAGAAAGCAATGCCATGGAAACACGGAGGGCAATCCAAAATACAGAAGACAAAACAGCTGCCATGGTGCACCAGAAAGTCCGATGGACGTCGGAGACTTTTTTTGTTTTGTTTTTTTCTCTGTAAAAAATAACCCACAAGCTATCACTATAGTTTTTTTTCCCTTATTGGCCATGTTTTGGTTTTTTCCTGTCTGACATCTGAATGTTTGTGAGTGAAATCTGTTCATGTGTGGTGTGTTGTCTCTGCCGTGTGGCTGTACACCACACACTGTAGGACCATACCTGTTACATCTATGATTTTTTTCATCGTCTTGTGTGAGGTCTCTCTGCTTTGAAAATCAACCAAGMATTTTACAATTTTGCCATGTAAACCATTCTTTATAGGCCTATAGGCCATCTGACTGGATCAAATCAGATTTACAGCAAGATTTATTGGTGCAAAATAAAAATAAAAAATAACATCTAAGAATTTCTTTAAACTTGTCTAAGTTTCTTAAACATAAAATTGACAACATTTTCACTTGAAATGTAAACTGTAACACATTTAATGGGGTATTGATGCAAATACCAATATCTATATTGGTATTGGTCCCAATTATTGGGGCGTTTTGTACAAGTACGAGCATTTATAAAAATGCCGGTATTGTTCTTCTCAATACCAGTATTGATATTGGGACACCACTAGTAAATTACAATCAAATTAAAACACAATTAAGACACTTTGTGAMTAAAAGTGTACATGCAAAATCAAATTAACACAACCATTGAGCATTTGCTTATTTTGTTGTGATTTTCTGTCTCCAGCTAGTTGCCAACAATGGTAAGTTGGTGAAATACAAGCAGGAAGTTCCTGTACTGCAGTATTCTCTACAGTGGTACAGAACATGAAGCACAGAACAACAACCTGTTTTAGTGGCAGGTATTACTTAAACCATCATCCTAGATTATTACCTGCAGCACTAATCAGCGCTGCAAAAGCATACTTTACACAGGCACATTCACATAATGATAGTTAATGGCAGAAACTCAACCTTTGGTCAAGTCTATTTATGATAATCGTTGAAGTGTCCCCTTTAAAAGAGATGGCATCCGGTGCTGTGACTCACCGAAACCAGTCACCTGGATAAAATGGGAGGAAATCAATGACCGAGCTTTTCCTCCTCAGGCACTTCTGCTGCGACAAAAGGGAGACGCAGGTCAGCTGGGTGACGGACATCATCGCCGCGAAGGTAAGACAAGTGCAACAACAACAAAAAAAAGTTGGAGCGGAGCAGAGGCGACTCATGTAAAAGCTTGATGAAGCAGCTAATTGCTTCAGCGCTGAAGCACACTGTGGCTTTGGACGTGGGGGAAAAAAAACGATTTATGTCTGCCTTTGTAGGGAGCCCTGCTGTGGAGTTGCAAAAACATACCAGAAAATAGTCAGTTATAAAAACAAATCATTTTTATTGCCAATATTTTTCGAACAATAAGAATAATAAGTCATAACACCACCACCCCTCGCCACCAATCTTCCATTTTCTTTGTGCCGTTCGACAGATTAAGCGCATAAAGAGGGAGAGAACTGTGAAGTTTTCGAGGTCACTCCACAATAACATAAATCACTTTATGTGGAAAAGCTGTGAAAATAAGGTCAAGGCGACTGTAACAATCACATTGTGGTACTTAGCCCCCAGATAGAGCGCTGTGTTGTCACTGTCAGCTGCTGACACAGCACATATGACATAAATAATGCAGGGCAAAGCAAACACGAGGAGAGCAGCTACGGATGTGTCATATTCTCAGATCATTTTCCCCCCCCTCTCATATTCATTGCCATTTTTTTTTTTTTGGTTTTGTTTTTGGTGGAACAGAACCGTCTTTGCTCATTAGCATGAATGCACGAGTGTCTTTCTGCTCATTTGTATGTAAATAATTGTAGTGGAAACATTTCAGTGGTCGTAAAAGTGCGAGATCAAACAGACGTCGCAGTGTTGTATTGGATTCTCAGCACATTTCATCAGTATTAGCTTCCATTATGGGAACCTCTCTGCTGCTGCGGCGTTGTTTATTACAGGTGCTTACTGTAAAAGCCTTTTCCTGCTTTAGTTTTGGGTTAGCGAGTTAAAAAGGGCAACACCGTCTAGGAGAGATTGATCTAAAGGGAAGGGTGATATTTGTAGTAAGTGTTTGGAGGTGTTTATTTCAGTGGACTRTTTCCCTTTCCTCCTCCCTGCTCTTTGTGGACACTCTTACCACTGCCAACAACTAAATCTGTAGCCGACTGGAGCCTGCTAAAAATATTAGGATTCTCCCCCCAAATCCTCTAAATATCAGGATTGTCAGCTTCCAGCAGAGAGGCTTGTGAGAAGGACACAGGACTTCCACGAAGGGCAAAGACTAAAGTGCAGAGCAGAAAGTCGACGGAGCTTCCCCGGTTTCCTTTTTCTCATACCTGTTGGCCAGCTTTGTGCTCCCAACAGTTTCCATAGCAACTTGCAATGGAGGATATCACTGTGAGGCGAGGTGTAATGAGTACTGGTGGTGCGGGTTAGGAGGAGTGTGTAAAGGTCCAAGGACAGCTCCTAGCGGCAACAAAATAGGGATTTGTTAAGGAGAGACAGTTCTGTAGGTCTGGGAGGGGTCACAGTGAATTTAAAAGAAGACATCGTTTAAGTGAAAGTTTATTCAGATGAGAATTCAGTTGGACTGAAGCCAGAATTCAGCCTTTTAATTCAGTTTTAAATGGACACAATCAAGCTCATCAAAAGTATTGTTTTAAAGAAATAAGAACAGTACCTGATGCTTCCTATAAACTGAGCTGTAACTGTGTAAATAAGAGAAAATCCAGAAAAAAATGAAACTTGTGTGCCTAGTTCTTATTAATTAAATTATTGGAGCAATATGTTGTGCCTATAGACAGGGAGTGTCAGACTTGTTTCCAAAGTGGGCCACATAAGGGTCAGTTGTAATTAACTTGGATGTTTTGTGTTTAACTTTGACTAAACACGAAGCGTCACGTTCCACGTCTCATTGCTACGGCTGAACACTGCTAACCAACAATAACTGAGCTCTACGTGGTATTTCTTGCATAGTAACAGTGTTTTAACATGTCCTTTTATAAACACCAAAAAGTCCTACGTGTACAACTGACTAAATGTGAAATAAATAATACAGAAATACTATTAAAAGTAAAAGTAAGCAAGTTTCACTCCCTGTCGAGTTGTGGTGAGTAGCTGCCTTGTCTCACTTTTCTTTCCCATGGGTCTTGAGTTGTTGACATGGGTAAGGATCTATGACTTACATGTGCTATAGACTAACAAATAATAACTAATGTTCTTGTCTTTGTGTTGTTCTCTTTCTTTAGTTTGGCTCTGACCTCCATTCAAAAGGAACTGCAGATCTCCAAACCTTCAGCGGCAGAGCTGTGACCGACTGCACCAAGGCTCCGATGTACGACAGCCACAACAAACAGGTCAGAAACTCCATTATTTCCAMGTTTAGTTCAAATTTTTACGATTTTAAAGCTGCTAATATATTAGCTGACAATTTCAGATGCTACTGTTAAAATAGCTTATATTGCCTAATTTATTTCTAAGACTAATTTTCTTGTTACAAAAAGTATTTTAGGTTAATTACTTCATTAGTATATTAAGGCAGTAATGCATCTTTTAAAGATGGGTTCTGTGGAAAATTTGTGAGCAATTACTACACTTCAAAAGATCTGAAAGGTTTGAACTATTGCCTTTAGGCTGTTTAATATATTTTATGTCATTTGTAAGGATCAGGAACGATTAAGGTTTGTTGATGACATGAATTCAGTTGATTACAGCAGATTTCTTWATTCCAGGTTTTCCCACAACTGATGGACAGAAGAGTTTCTCTTGGAGATGGCAACTCAAAGACAACCAGAGTCCCTGAGCTCCCCTTAAAATTACTAACTATACCCAAAAGCCCAAAGCTCAGTGACGTCAGTAAATCCAAAACTCTGCCCATCAGTCCAAAGCCCAGTGACATGAATAAAACCAAAACTACAGCACACAGCCTAAAGACCCCCGAGCTCCCCCTTCGAAGAACTTCTGTTGATGTTGGTGTGCCACATCAGCTGCCTTCCCCAGCCTTGTCCAAACACGTGCAGCCAATGCCTCTTCAGACTTCACCTCAAAGCAGCAGCAGCAGCAGCAAGGCACTGAACAAAAAGCCGTTTCTGGGTGGGGAGGGGGTCATGCCACCGAACCTAATGAATGAGCTGAACTCGGTCCTGAGCAAGACTGGTCGCAAGAACAATGACTGACAGAAAAATATAATAAAACGGAGAGAAACATGTTTAGTTTAAAAACAAAAGGCATWGACGGAAAGCATGGAAGAGCATTTATTGTACACTGAATTGTCTTGCTTTTATAACAGCACTCCTATAGCCCAAGTACTGTTGTTAAACTCAGGTAATTGAAAAATACCAAAGTGCAAAGATGTGGAAAATAAATGTGGGATGCAGCCGAGGTCAGCGAACCTCAGCTGGACATGGCACTGACTCAAGCACTACATATTGTGATGCACATGCCAATCTTTAAAGCCGAGAGACGCTTAGAAATGCAAATATGTCAAACATTTGGCAGAAATATTCACACTGCTTGCTTCATGCTTTTCTGTTTCAAGACTTTTCTAAAACTACGTAAGTTCAGTTACAATTGAAATTCTAAATCATATAAATTGTTTAAATTGGAAAAAGGATGAATTCTGTATTTTCTTAGAATTAGAAAAAACTGAGAATTCTGAGATTCAAGTGCAAATTCTGATCAAATATACAGAATATAGTCAGTTTATATATATATATATATATATATTTTTTATATATTCTCTGTGGCCCAATCTTCTTCTGTAGTTATTGGCAGTGGATTTCCTGATTAAACAGCTGATATTACTGTTGGCTGATTAAAGGGGAATGATTATTTATTTTAAAAATGCAGATACAAGTTTTAGGTACCACTTTATAAAAAGGGTATAAATGACTAATAAATTGTTAATTTGGCTGCAAACACTTAATGAAACATTGCAGGAATTAAGTGCATTAGTTCAAAAGATCTATTTTCTCTGTCAACCAGTGAGCCAACATTCATCTGTCACCTCTCTTTGTTTACCTGAATCCTTCATAATTCAGTTTTGTAACAAAGACTTGTCACTAAGTCACTTACATGCAGGCACTATGAATATTTGTAAAAACACAACAAGTGATTCAATTAAAGCAAAAAAGCAAACTGAGCAAAACTCAGAATCTTACATCTGCCTGAATGAATAAGAATACAGCACTTGATCTTTCCAAATGATAACCCTTCTTTAATGTATAGATTATTATATTTATACTGTTTTATAAATGATTTGTAAAGTCTTTAAAAACTCTTGAATAATCTATTTATAAAGAATGAACAAATCCTTTAAAAAAAGGCACTTACAGTGGTACCAAGGTTTTTGCCCGACAGCACTGTATTGTAACATAAAGGTACAAAAACTAAGAGTTATTTTTTTATCTTATAAAACATTGAGAGACCACTTTAAACTGTAAACAGCTTGCCCCTAAATGTTATTTAATTTACTGTATTATACGTGAAACACTGGAAAAAGCTGTTTTAGGGAACAATGGTTACTTATTTCCATTTGGTCAACAATTTGAATATAAAATATTTTATGTTGAATGTTATTGTTTTTTTATTCAAATACTTAAAAAAACTATAATACTTCAGTTATTTAGATTTAAATGTGTCTTAAAWACATTTATTGGTTAAATGTTATGTTACATAGTAAGATGTGAATTTGAGGGAATAAAGCAAAGTAGTTTGTTTTAAGTCATATTTTGTTGCATCTTTTGTTTCATCCTGCGTTTCTTCATACAAGTCTAAAGAGAGTATGTGGTTTTAAATTTAGAACAATTACTGTTTTCTGCTCTGCTGTAGAGAAGAAATCTGACTTACAGGCATCTTTCACAATTTGACCTAAGGATCAAACCCTTGAGGACCCCCCCTCGTACCCCAGGTATTGTTCAGATTTTTTTAATCATCGGATACAACTCAGCCGCTGCCCTCGACGATCTGAGCGATGCAGAAGTCCTCCCACTTTCATATTTTCATCAACAAACGTTGTCTCCTCTCCAGATCAAATGGTGTTCTAACATCAAACAGCAACTTTTCTTCTGTTTTACCTGAATCTGTATTCAGCTGAATATCGATTTGATGCTTTTATCCGAGCAGCTCACTGCTCTGATTTTAGTCTGAAGCCAAAAAGAACTTTGTTCAGAAAAAAGGTCATTGCATTCACACTATTATTTTACTGCTTTCTTATTTTTCTGTATGTTTTTTTCAGTCTACCTACAGCTGTATACTTTGTGCCTTTTTAGCCAGTCTCATCTCACAACTTTCAGCTCGTCAAACAGAGATGTTCTGTAACTTTTAATCATTTTACTTTTCAAAATATTTAATTTACATTTTCCACATTGAAATACATAAAAATAGATATATATATWTTAAAGTTCTTTAAAATACGCTTTAATTTACATTTTCAATTGAATTGCTCTATTTTTGTTCTCTTTTGCTTTTTGTGTCTAATTTCTGTTCTCATAGTTAAACTTTTTTTACTTTTGGGTTTTAGCTAAAACTACTACTGTTCCTACTCAGCTAACCTTTTTATATTTTTAGCTTATTTTGCTATAGATTCTGGTTAGCTAGTGTTTTATTTTTATCTTGAAGCTACTTTTTAAAATAGTTTTCATTAGTTTTAACTTAAACTAACATTTTGCTACTCTTAGCATTTAAC